CTGAGCCCCCCTGGGCTGCTCATGTAAAACTTGTGAGACCAGTGGAACCAGGTCACTTGCTCTGTACAGGATACCCTGTCGGATTCAGGTGGTATGTGTTGGAGTGGAGCTGATTTGTGACAGAGGAGGGGCCAGTGGGTCTCTTTGCTGCGTTCCAGTCATTTGTCACCTGGGGGTTGTCTTCCTTTGCAGATATGGCAACGTGCCCTTCACCAAGAACCCTGAGAAGTACATCAAATACCAGGTTGACCAGGTGGGGGAGATGATCGAGAAGCTGTTTGACACATCAGCATAAATTTCCAGCTGTCGTGAACTCTCCAGCTGCCAAGTACAAGCCAGTGCTCTTTCAGCAACCCTTGGGACTCCCTTCCCTTCTCCCCTGCCCCATTGTGGTGGGCAGGGTGTTATACTTGTATTTATCAGATTTATAAACCTGTGGAAACACTCCTTCCTGGCTGTCTTTGCTCCAGATCCACGGGATAAGGCAAAGTCTGCCATGTGGGCTCTTACATTTGGGCATCTTCTCACCTGGGTTTGTGTTAATGCCTTGATGTGCAGCAGACATGGGGAGTGTGTTCAAAAAAAAAAAAGAAAGAAAAACACACACACAAAAACCCCTCTAACCTTATGGATACAGCCCTTCTGTTTGGAGCAGGAAGCTGTGAGCTCCAATGGTGCCACGTGCTTCCCTGATGGGTTTTGGGAATCTCAGTTCTGTAGGATCCCAAAGGATTTTCACATTGTTACTCTTGACTGTTATTTAGTTCAGTGATGGGCTGCGATGCCAGTTCTGGGGTGTGGTGGTGTGTGGCCGTGGTGGTGCAGGCTAGTCATGCACCAGGGTGTTTTACCCAAAATTTGGCAAGCTGCCCCTGTATCAGTGCTCAGTCCTTCATGAGGCAGTGGCAGGTGGGGTGAAGGCAGTCTGGAGTCATGACAGAGCAGTGGGAAACCAGAGGGAGCTCTGTGGTGGCCTGGCTGAGTGCTGCCCCTCGACCTGAGGCAGAGCATGTGCAGAAGTGTACATACAGATTTCTGCTCAGCATCTTCCTCCCATCCGTCTCTTTCCTTTGTCTCCTGTCTTAAATCTGATCCATCTCTTCCCTGCAAGGATCCAAGCCTGTTCCCTCTGTTCAGCCCATAGGCATGTGTGAAGCAAGTGCTCTCCCACATGCCTTGGAGCAATCCTGGCAGGCTTTGATACAGGAACTGGACTCTGACAGCTTTGCACCAAAGCCTTTCAGAGGAACACCTCTGTTGTATCTGTGGTCTCTGGCCAGGCACCTCCTGCTCCCACCTCCCTCTCTCCTGCTGCTGCTCCACTGTTTGTCTGTAACACTTGAAATACAGGGTTTCCATAGAGTGAGGAGCACTCACAATAGCTGCTGCTTTGTAATTTGGAACAAATCCATTATTCACCTGAGCTGTGTTTGCTGGAGTGTTTGCTGGTGTCTGATTAGCCCAGCCCAGAGCTGTTGGATGTTAGTGCAGGTCCTGCTGTGGCCGACCCAGCCTCTTGCCTCGGCTGCTGCCTCCTCAGACAGATGTTTTTCAGGGAGCTCCTGGCTTTTCTAAACCCCTGACCTCCTCTTCCTCCTCAGCCTGGTCTGAAACACTACCTGGTGTAACAAATGCCTGAAAACCAGCAGATTAGACAGGCTTGTCCAGCCCAGAGCTGGACCACGGTGTGAGTTCAAGCCTTGGTCACCCACCCCACCTGGCCATTCCTATGTGTCTGACTGTGCAGGCTCACAGTGCCAACCCCAGAGCCCTCCCTGCAGGGACCTTCCCTCCTGCTTTCAGATCTCAAATGTCTGAGGACACCTGAGACCTCAGCACTTGCTGTTTTTCACCTCTGCCAGCTCCAAGAGCTTCCAAAGGCCAGCAGGCGCCAGACAGTGTTGGAAAGCATAAGCAAAGTGCTGCTGGCTTGTGTTGTGTGCAGTGTCCAGCTTGCTGGATACACACCCTGACATTCACCAGAAGGGCCTGGATTCCATCTTTCTGGATGTGTTTCTGCCACTGCAGCAGTCTGATATGAGTTTCTTTCTCCAGGAGAGTGTGTGGAATTCAGGCTGAGCTGTAAAATATGTTTTATTGCCCCTGATCCCAGGGCGAGGCAGTTCACCCGGAACGGTCGCAGGCAAAGCCAAGGGAGGGAAGAGGGAGCTTTGCCTGCAGCATTTCTGGAGCACCTGAGCTTTAGTGTGCAGGAGCTGGAATCCTCCCTATGCTGATGCTCTTGTGCCAACCAGAGCCTGTGGAAAATGCATGAAATCCTTTAGGGTTTGGGACAAGGCCACATCCTGTTCTCCAGAGATTCTGGGAATGCCTCTGCATGACCCATGCCAAAAGAGGCATTTCTGGGTTTTGCTGTCAGCCTGTTCCCCCAGGAAAGCTGTACAGACCAGGGCTGGTGGGGAGATGCAGTCAGAGATGGGATGCAAAATGTCCTACTCCCTCTTGGGCTCTCCATTACCAGCACCAGTAGCTGGTTGGGTTGTTTTCTACCCCAGGGATGCCCTGGCTGCATCTGGAGTAAGGAATGGAGGTAAGAGGCAGCTGGGGACTGAGAGCTGAGCTTGCTGGTGGCTGTGCAGGCTATACAGTGAGGAGGAGCCGGAGGAGGTAGCAGGTGGGAATCAAGACCCTCATTTTCCCTGAGTTAAAGGGAAAACTGAGCCATCCAGTCCCTGTTTCTTAAATCCAGCCTCCCACTCACCCTTGGCTCTAACCATTCTCTCACCACCTGCTTCTCCCCTGTGCAGGGAATGAACATGGGGAGCTGGACAGGCTCTCAGCCTCGCTGAGCAGCCCCTGCAGCAGCCAGACCTGCTTTGGGATCAGCAGCACGTTTCAGGCTGAGCCACCCCTCCCTTGGGGTGGGAGCAGGAGGAGCCGCTGGCCCCCTCCAGGCTGGCTTTGTCCAACACTGCACAGTGCAGGGAACGGCTCTGTGTGCTCCTTGGCTTTTTATGGTAAGGAATGTGTTTGCAACATGTTAATTAAGAGTGATCATGGCAGCCAGCACAGCCTGGCCCTCTCACACTTAGCCCTTCACATCCTTGCTAAGAGCTGACTGCAGAGCCTCAAGTGATGCTGAGACTGTGGGAAGGGGCCACGGATGGGGCTGAACCCCCTCTGCCTCCCCCTCTGCTTTCTCCAAGGCTCCTGCAAGGTTTAATGCTCTCCCCTCACCTCCCATTCAGCCTGACACAGACTCTCTGATTTCCAAGGTTTTGGGGCTGGAGCCCCATTTCTCCGTTGTTTATTTTTGAGGCTCCACAGAGGCCCATGTTGGGGCTGTGCCAGGATCTGAGTGTCTCCTACCTGCTGCCTCCTAATACTGTGGAGCAAATTTGGCAGAGTAAGTGTTTGAAAACAAAACAAAGCCACAAACGAAAACAACTTCTTTAACTCCAGTGATAAATCCATGTACTGCAAAGTTCACATTAACTGAGATTTCAGCTAAGTGTCCCTCATGTCCCTGTGCACTCTTGGACTTGAGAGCTGACTTTAGCCTATTTATTTTCCACTCCCTATTGAATATGCTTTTATTAAATTTTAACTGGAACAGGGGGACTTGCACTGATCTTAATTTAAGACAAGGCCTCCCAAGGGAACAGACCAGGAGCCTGCCTCCCTCGGGAGGGTTCTGAGTAGCAGCAGGTTGTGATACTCTTGTCTTTTCCTGATATGCTCTGTTATTTGTGGGGGAAAGTCACTTCCCAACATGTTTTTGTGTGGCAGAAAAACCTTTTGGTGCCCTGGGAGCTGAGCTAGAGGTGTCCTGGGATGTGCCTTCAAAGTGGTCATGGGTGGCTGAGCAGCTCCAGAACAGTTAGCAGGGTAGGGCAGGTCTCAGCTGTGGGCTTGGAGGGCTCTTGGAAAGGCTGGGGTGGGAAGGAGGGGAGCAGGATCAGTGTCTGCTCTGGGATGCTCTGCTGTCATGAGCAGACAGGGGACAGCCACGCCAGCACAGGGACCCATGTCCTTGGGCAGTGCAGAGGTGATGGGTCAACATCTCCATCTCCAAGGTGAGCTGATAACTGTCCAGGAGAGGGGATTGAACCCCTTGGTGTGTGTGGGATCCATCACAGCCAGATCCTGCAGCTCTCTGGGCAGAGGTAGATGAGCGCAGGAGGAAGATAAGGCTTTAACTGTGTTTGTGCAGCTGATCCAATGTTTTCCCTGGCTGTAAAGGGTTGAACAGGGAGATAAATCCAGATATAATTAATGGAGCTGTTTATATGCTGCTCTCTGTGACTTATGCTGCAAGCAAGCCGAGACTAAATATCACAGTTATTGATATGAGGCAGTGGCTGATTTATGGCCCTTTGCATTGGGGCGGGAAGATCTGGTTATAATAACACTCAGCAGGGGAAAAGAAATTATTTACAGCCAAAAGCTTCTCAGGAAGAAAGGCCAAGCAGTGGGGAGGGGTGGAGGAGGGCTGTGTCCTGACCAGACACCCAGGGAGAACCAGGGTCCTGGACAGAAATAGCCTCCTGCAATGCAGCCCAGTCCTGGAGAATTCTGCCTTAGAGATTCACAAGAGGGAAATCCGTGCAGACAGCTCATCCCAGCTCCTGTGCACTTTCACTGCCACCTCTGGCTGTGCTTTGCCACAGAGTTTTCAAAAGAGTTAATTGATCCTATTCTAGTGATGCTCTTGTGGTACAGAAAGGAGGGCTTTCATTTAAGGCCCTTGGCTGCTGATGGTCACAGGGCTCTGCTTTCACACAGCCTTTGCAGTGTAATGAGCAGGAGGTTGTGAGTCACACCAGCCTCTCATGGGCAGGTACAGCTATATGAAGAGGGTGCAGTGACATTCCTGTGCCGCAGTGACCCCCCTCCATGGCTGTGCTTGGACATAATCCACATCCTCCATCCCTTCCACCCTCAGCTTCCCTCCATCCAGCAGGTCCCACCACCCCTCCAGCACCCTCCTCTCCTCCCCTGCAGCTGTGGGGCGTCTCAAGGGAGCTGAACGCAGGAGGTGAGATGAAGAGGCTTTATTAAGGCTTTCCTGACTGGCTGGGGATGACCCCCAGCTCTCACATGGCTCTGGCTGTCCAGTCCCACACCGTGGCTCCAGGGAAGCAGTGCTGCTGCTTTGCTTTGCTCTTCTCCACAATCACCTCGCTTTGATGAGAGGCTGAGCCGTGCCTGAGCTGTCCAAGGCATTCAAATCCTCCCCCAGTGTGGTCCTGTCCCACTCAGGTTCCCCTCCTGCAGGGCCATGGCTGTGCTCCCTCAGCAAACAGCCTCCCTTCCTTCTGGTCCTTGGTGACCTTCTATGCTTCTCTCCTGGATTTTCCTACCTGAGCTGGGTTTGTGCCCACATGGCTGTGCCCAGAGATGCAGCTCCTGTACCAGGTCACAAACAAACCAAGACTTTCCAAATATCCCTAAAAGAGCACCCCACTAACTCCAGCCAGATGCTGTGTTGGTTGGAGGGACCAGAGCTTTCAGCAACCTCCAGGTGTAGTTGCAACAGGGCATAAGTCTGTCCGTGACAGAGGAACAGGTGATTACACCAGAGTGGATTTGGGGGGTTTGATCTCTACTCTCAGCAAATGCTTGATGGAAGGAAATCCTGACCTTGGATCCTCGGTCAGCTGCTTGGCTGAGTCTGTATCAGCAGCATGATCAGTGTTATGACATCTGGGTGCACTTGAATGGAAAGAGTCCGACTGGCCACATTTCAACCCAAAACGTAGCCTGTCCCCAGGCCTGCCATTGCTGCAGGAGCCCGCAAAGCCGTGGGGTGGGGAGAAGCTCTGCTAGCTGACACTGAAGGTGACGAAGGAGCCATCTGCTTTGTGCTGCTGTCCCACCAGCTCCAGCTCCCCCCAGGGCTGGGCTGGGACCCTGCAGCGTGTGGCGGAGCGGCCGGGCAGGGCCTCGCTGAGCTGGGTCACCTCGCTGAGCTCTGCCTCCAGCGTGCTGACGGTGTTGGTCACCTGGGCCACGTGCACCCTGTGGGCTGCCTTCTTGTGCAGGAGGCAGCTGAAGATCTTCTTGAAGCCCTTGCGGAAGTGTTTGGAGACCAGGGCATAGACGATGGGATTGACGCAGGAGTTGGCGTAGGAGATGACGTGCGACAGGATGCGGAGCACGTACGTGGAGTGGTTGAGGGGGAAGTACCCGAACCAGACGCAGAGGATGACCAGGTGGTGGGGCAGCCAACAGAGGCAGAACAGCACGGCCACAATGATGATCATCCTGGTGACCTTCCGTTTGGCCTTCTTGGACTCGGACATGTCTTGGAGAGGGTCCACGGACTTCCACAGGTAGCGAATAGTCCGCACGTAAGTGAGGCTCAGGATCAGCACCGGGATGATGTAGCTGAAGACGAAGGTGCAGATGTCCATGACCTTGCGCTGGGAGATCTCCCAGATGGGGTGGCACACGGTCAGGTTGGCCAGCTGGAATTCCTGGTAGTAGCTGAGGTAAGGGCCAGAGAAGATGAAGGAAAGCCCCCAGATGAGGCCAATGGCCATGAGGGCGTTCCGGGGCGTCCTCAGCTCCCTCGAGTGCAGGGGATATCGTATGGCCAAATACCTGCGTGGGAAAGGGAGAGGGACACAGCTGCAGTCCTGGGAGGACACAGAGAGAGCATCTCTGGGACCGATTGGAGGAAGGGCACAAGGGATGGATTTGAGTTTTCCAGGGCAACTGATTCCCTGGTGCTTCTCAGGGTCCCTGTACAGTGCAGAGTGAGGAAGATCCTCACCCAACCCTGTCCTGTCACCCTTTCTGCTCCCAGCAGTACTTGTGGGGACAAGAGGTATGGTCCCCTTCTGTCCCTCTCCCTAATCCAGCAGATCCTCACTTGATCATCACACTGACTGGCAGAGCACAAATGATAGCAGCAGTGTGGATACGAAGGCAGGAGCAAGTCCCCAGGATCCCCAGACAGTGTTCCTCACACTGGCACACATGAAAGCACATCACCCCTTTTCAGTTCTGTAATTAGCTGGTTCCCTAATTACACCCAGAACTGGGGGCCTGTGCTACTTCCCCAGCTTGGCACCTCTGTTCCCCCAGCTCAGTGGGACATGGGGGGAGAGGCAGCCCCTGGCCATGTTTTAGCTCCTGGGGATGCTGTCCCAGCACCTGCTGGGATGGCAGAACACATCCAGCCCAGCTCTGGGGCTGCCATGGCTCTTCCCATGGACTTTCCACATCCCATCTTGCAGGTTTCAGGCACAGAGCAGAGCAGCACCAGGAGCTCCCTGCCTCTCACTCACTGCAGGTTCATAACTCACCGGCCCTTGCAGAGTCAGGGGCTGAGTGAGCATGAGGTAAAGCTCAGGCAGGAATAACAGCCTTCCTGGCTAAAAACTACCCTGGAAAAGGGACAACCACTGGAGCAAAGGGACAGCACTGGGAGAAAAAGGGGCTTTTTGCTAATGAAAGGGGAGGGTGGGAAAATCAGTGTCTCAGCTCAAATATCCCAGTGGCTTTTCCTCCTCGAGGTTTGCCTGCTTTGCCAGGGGCTATTGGGAGGGTCAGGGCTCTCTCCATACATCCCAGGGAGAGCCACAGCTGCACAGGGACTGAGCTTTGTTTTTCTCTGGTTTTCCATTTCCACTTCAACTGCCAGAGCCCAGTCCTACAGCTTTGGGGTCTGAAAGCTTCCTCCAGCTGGGCACTGAGGACAGGGGTTGCAGTCCCAACCCTCTGGTAGACCCCATCCTTGGTGGTTTTATTTCCTTGCACACATCAACTGGGAAATGCTCCTGGATTCCTCTAGGAGCCCCGGGAGATGGCAGCAATCAGGGCTTAACTCCAGGGGATTCTGTCCCCTCTCTGCCTAGGAGGTATCCAGAGAAAGGGAACCTTCAAGGTGCAGGGAGCCCCCCCCATTCCCTTTTTCCTACCTGTCGAGGGAGACGGTGGCCAGGGTGAAGCTACTGGCGTACATGGTGAGGTAGATGAAGAAGTGGACAGCCTTGCACATGAAGGGCCCAAACACCCACCCCTCCAGGGTGTAGATGGTGGCTTGGAAGGGGACGCAGAAGAGGATGAAGCAGAGGTCGGCCACCCCCAGGTTGAGGATGAAGAGGTTGGTGGTGTTCTGCACCTGCCCGTTGCGCAGCAGCACGGCCAGGACCAGGCTGTTGCCCACCGTGCCCACGAGGAAGATGACGAGGTACACCAGGGGGATGATCACGGACTCGGGATGCCAGCCCCCCTCGGAGCCTGCTGTGGAGCTGTTCATGGCCGGGAGTCCACGGAGAGGGGATGGATGGGGGGAGAACGCGTGGAGAAGGCACTGGGCAGGCACAGAGGGTGTGGGAGTGCAGGGGAAAGGGGTGCACGGAGAGGTCAGTGAGGGGTGGATCGGGGACTACACGGAAGAAGGGGTGCACAGAGAGCACCTGGGGAGTGCAGAAGGGATATAGGGGCAAAGGGGGTGCAGGGAGTGCAGCGGGGAGTGCAGCAGGGATGCAAAGGACAAGGGGGTGCAGGGAGAGCACGCTGGAGAGCACAGAAGGGATGCACGGGGAAAGGGGGTGCAGGCAGAATGCGGTGGGGAGCACAGAAGGGATGCAAAGGAGAAGGGGGTGGACGGAGAGGTCAGCGAGGAGCGCACCGCGAACGCGCAGGGAAGGGGTGAAGGGGAAAAGGGGCGCACGGAGAGTGCACGGGAGATGCCCGGGAAAGGGGGTGCAGGGAGAGCCGGCGCGGGGGGATGCAGGGGGGAGCCGGGCGCCCTTCACCTCCTCCGGGGTCGGCGGGAGCCCGCGGCCGCTCGGTGCGGCTCCGGCGGTGCGGATCCAGCGCTCTCCGTGCGCCGCCGGAGCGGGGGGGCCCCGGGGCGGCTCCGGGGCGGCCGCTCCCGCCCGGCCCCGCGCATCGCGCCCCGAGCCCGGGGAGGGGATCCCGGGCCCTCCCGCTGCCCGTGGGGAGCCCTCCCGGGCACAGGGGCTCGGGGCGGGGGCGCTTTGCCCCAGTGCGAGGTAAATATCTGTTAGTGATGTTACACCCCGGGCCGGGGCTGGGTGCCCCAAAGAGAGCTGGACACCCAAAGTCGGTTTTTTTTCCTTATTGCTTCCCCGTGCAGCAGTCACTGGGAGAGGGCTTTTCAACCCTAGGGGCTGCAGGGCTGTTTTTTTTAGGAATGGAGGTTCCTCTCCGACTGCAAATGTGTCCAGCATGCAGCTAAATCCTTGCACCAAAGCACCCGAGGTGAGCCCAGGTTTGCAGGAGAAACCGTGTTTCTCCCCAGGGCTGGGGGGTCAGGGTGATTCACTGCAGCGAGAACAGATTTTTGTCACGTCTTGTCTTCTTTTCCTGCAAAAATTGCTCAGAGCCTTTACAGATGGAAGTCTTGGGACTGGCCGGTGCAATCAGCTCTCCAAGGACTCTTCATGTGGCCCCCAGGCTGCTTTGCTTTGTTCCTATGGAGAGAGAGAAGTATTTAATGCATCAATTACTCCTGTAACTGACCCACTCCACAGCTTCCCAGTTCTCTTCACGGACGTCCAGAGCTGAGCCTGCTGGCAGTGCTGGGAGCTCTGGGGACACTCACAGCCCTGTGACATTGCCAGTATAGGGTACAGAGCCCTTTTCCACCCTCAGTAGCCCACAAGAAGCCCCACAAAGCCAGCTCCTGTTCAGACAAGGTATATGGGAAAGTGGATAGACCTCTTTGGTGTGAGGATGAGATGATCCTGACATTATCTTGCAGGCAATTAGGAGCAGCACAGCGGGAAACTGGCCATCCCACAGGGTTCAAGGAGGTGCTGAGACACAGGGTGTAGCTCTGCCTCCCTCTCCTGATCCCAGACTGGCCACATTCCCCTCAGGGAATCACTCCTGGCCTCAACAAGGGCTGAGCCACATCCCCAGCCATGACCATGGAGGTTGCAGGGCCAGCTCGTGGGGAAAGCCCAGCCTCAGGGAGTTTTTACCCTTGGGAAATTGCCCTAGTTCCAGGGAGGTTTCACCCCATGGGATCTGCCCTGTGTCCTCAGATACCCACTGCAGGGCACTGGCATTTGGGTGATGACACTGGTGGTGTCTTTGGTCTCCCTTGAGCTGTGGTCAGCTCTCAGATAGGCCAGGTCCATCCTTGTGCTGCAGGGTGAGATTATTAAAAAAAAAAACAACCAAGGAAAATACCCAGTTTCTTCCTGAACACCAGCACAACTCACAACTTGCAGCTCTGTACACAAAGATTAGTAACAGAATCCCTCATCCAAAAACTGCAAAATAAGTTCTTGGCCTGAGACATAGATGGGTTATTTGGGCAGGGGTGCAGCAGCATGGGGATCTGGCCTCCAAACCCCCAAAAGGAAAAGTCACATTATAAGGCTACCAGCCCTCCCAGACTGCAGGGGCAGGCAGCAGGGGGAGGGTCTGTGCATGGTGTGAGTGTTTGGAGCTGGTAACCCTCACTGGATTTATTCCTGTGACACCAAAGGCAGCTCAGCCCTGCTGCAAGGCTCTCACCAAGGCTCTGCTCGATGCAGTGCTGCAGGTTTGTGTGGTCCTCCTCTCCCTCTGCCCTGCAGCAGGAATCTACACATCGAGCCAGTGGCAGCTTTATCCTTCCATTTACAGGCTCCAGAGGAGCAGCAAAGTTTTGTGTCAGTGTATGAGAAAGAAATGTGCCCGTGCCACACCTGATGGCTGCTCTGGCATTGGAGTGGGTCCCTTGGGGGATGAGATGCATGTGGGGCACCTGAAGGTGGGTGCTGCCTTTATCAGTCCATCTGAACCACAGAGAGGAGCAGTTGTTTGTAGAACAGGCTTTAATTGCCATGTCTGCTTAGTTCAGCATCATCCTGGAGCACAGTTTGGTTTAGAGAGGGAATGGATCCCTGGGAGATGTGTTGGGAACCTGGAGCAGACGGACACAGTTTAAGAGATTTGCTGCAGCTTGAGGACACCGTTGATTTTTTGTTTTATTTTTTCCCTTTGAGTTTCCTGCCCATGAGAAGAAAGGAGAACTTTGGAACCAGGAATAAGAGATCACAGCTGAGCTCTTGGAAGGGGAGAGGAGCCAAAATTGCTGCTCGCTGTAGTGTGGCAGCAGCAAAGAGCAGCCAGGCAGGCAGAGCCCAGGCTGGCAAAGATAGGTCTGGGCCTGATGAGAGCAGCTCTGAGAGCAGTGTGTACCACTCACTATTATAACCAGTATGTTTGTGTAAATATTTATCACCAGGTACTCAAAACAGTTTGGGGTTTGTCCCTAACAACTTATCTCCAAGCTTCGTTCAAATATTTAAAATCCACGTGCAAGAGGACCTGGTTTTAAGCGCTTCTCCCAGGTAGCGGGCGCAAATCCATTTTGATACCTTTAAATAGCTCCACGGAAGTGCTGCTGGATTTGGGTGTGTTTGGGGCTTTGAAGTAACAACACAGAGTCTCTTTAACCAGGTACACAGCCCAAGGGGGGCAAAGGCAGTGGGAGGGGGGAGATTTTGGGGGCTGATGTGGATCTTCTTTGGGGTAAGCGGGACAGGGTTGGGGGGGTGACCCTGGGGGATGATTTGGGGGTCAATACCAGGGTGTGTGAGTGGGACAGGGTTAAGGATGTGACCCCGGGAGCTAATTTGGGAATCAGTACCAGGGTGTGTGAGTGGGACAGGGTTAAGGATGTGACCCTGGGGGATGATTTGGGAATCAGTACCAGGGCGTGTGAGTGGGACAGGGTTAAGGATGTGACCCTGGGAGCTAATTTGGGGTCAGCCCTGCTGGGGGTGACCCTGGGGCAGAGGAGTTTGACTAGGCTGGGGGGCTCAGACTGGGTGTGACTGAGTGGGACAAGGGCAGGAGGGCCGGGGGTGGATGTACCAAACGCAGGGTGAGCCCCAGCGCCGGGAGTGTCCCCGAAGCCCCGATCCCCCCCCGGGATCCCCCGGCCGGTCCTCCCCGTTCCCGGCGGCCCCCGCGCCGGCCCCTCGCGCCGCTGCCCGGCCCGTGATGCACCGCGGCGCTGGCGCAAGATGGCGGCGGAGCGTCAGGGCGGCGGCGGCGGCCGCGGGGCCGGGGCGGAGGAGAACCGGGACGGCAGGGACGGCAAGGACAATAAGGAGAACAAGGAGAACGAGCGGCCCGCCGCGCCTCAGCCCGGCGGCCTCGGCGACAGCCTGGGCCTGGAGAGCATCCTGCGCCGCGGCGGAGGGCGGGGGGGAACGTGGCAGGCCCGGCCCCGTGGGCGGCGGGGGGACGTGGCGGCAGCGCGGGGATCGCGGGGCCCGGAGGATGCGGCCCCGCGGGCAGGGACGGGGGGCGGCGGGGACTCCCCGGGTCGGGCCCCATGAGGGGGCACCGCGGAGGAGCGGGCGGTGTTGGCCCGGCCCGGCGTGAGGGGTTGGTTTGTGTAAAACGGCCCAGCCCGGCATTCCTGAGGTGTGGATTTGTGCTCTGCCTGTGCGGCTTCTCCTTCCGAACCGCGTGGCAGCTGGAGCCAGCCCCCACGGCGGAGCTCTGTGCTGGATTGTGTGCTTTAGATAGGAGCAGGTCACCTCTGAGCTGCTGGTTGTAATATTAAAGCTTAAAGCAATAATGGATCAAAAAATCTTAACAGGTGCGCTGAGGTGGCAAACCGCCTCCTGTGGGTTTAGTGCTTCCAAAATCTGATGTGGCCTGTAAAGCTCGTGGACGTTTTTGTACGTGAAACTTTAGATGTGAAACTAGTCCAGCTGCACAGCTGTGGGAGAGCTGGGGTTTATTTATCTTCTGGGTCAGAGGAAAACTCAGGTGAAATGAGGTGGCAGTTTTCCACGTGGCATATGGCAGGTGGTGTGTGGTCAGCAACTGTGGAGTAAGCTGCAGACATGGCAATTGCCCTGCTAACGTTAGGAATATCTAAATCAATGAAAAAGTGCATAATACAGGGGGTATGAATTCAGCAAGTAACTGCACAAGATAAAAGAGAGTCTGAAAAAAATCTTGGGTAGACAGCAAGGACGAGGAGCGCTGTGTTGAGATGTTGCAATTTGAATTGTTTGTTCCACAAATATGAAATAACTCATTGTAGTAACTATTGGTGCAGGTTCTTAATACTTGAGAGACTTAATTTTAGATGTAGTTACAAGAAAACACTTTGATAGACATTGACATTTTAAACTTTAAATATCTGGTGATTTCTTTAGGTATAGTATTAGTGTTTCTTTTCAAGGGGTTGTTGTACAGTCTGGTTTTGGGTGTTTTTTAAAGGCTTCTTGATAAAGCTAAAAAAGGGAAATTTGAGGATATAAATATATATAGCACAGAGATTTCCTGTTTGTGGTGGAGATTGTATTTCACAAAATAATCTGCCTTGTAAACGGTGTGAAAAGCATCAGCAGATTTACCAGAATATGGTCTATTATTTACTTGGTAGCATCAGTAAGGGAATAAAGGAACTACAGGATGCACAGAAATTGGCAAATGCACTGAAGAGTGCAGAGACTGGATGGGAATGATGGAGTGATGGTATCCCAGGTCACAGGGCAGTGCATTGTGTCACAGATGTTAGTTACAGTCGTGCAGCAAGACTAGAAATGTGTTGAAAAACTGAGCAGAAAATCAGCCCCTGAGTTCTTTCCAAAAGCTCTTTTGAGGAGGTTCTTTGTTCAGAAAGCTGTTTGTTTGTGGAAGCTGTGTGGAGAAGGCAGCAGTGATTCTGTTCAGGGTGTTTGTGTCCTTTTCCTTTGGGAAGATGGAAGGTTTAAGGGCAGGAAAGCTTCTCTCTCCCTCGGTTTTGCCAACAAAACCATATCACAAGTGTGGCTGGGGAGGCTGTGTAGCCAGGCTGAGGCAGTCAGTTGTATGAGCCTGGATGTGTCTGTTGGCACAGCTTATCCCAAAATGAGCTCCA